TCTCACAAAAAACCTTCTAAACAACACAGATAAAGAGAAAGCTGTTCCAGTCGGCCAACTGGCAGTGTGTTTTATAAGCATGTGTTACATAAATGTCCTAAGCAGGATTTTTCAATACATTCAGCCGCCCAATCATGCCTGCGCTCCAAGTTTAAACCACACAGGGAGCCCACACTCATCCTGAGCTTGGCTTCACTCTCTCTGCTCTCTCCGCAGTCCAGCGGAAGCCTTCCCTGTGTTTGCTGGGGGAATTAAGGCTGTGAGGAAGGGACTGGTGGGTAACATCAAAGGCAGAGTGGCGGTCTCAAGGTCTAATTAAGGATTTAAAGCCCTGAGAGACTTCAGCCTGGCCACAATGCTTCCTGCCCATACATGGTATTACTGTAGCAGAGACTAGCTACTGCTTTAAGCGATAGTTCAGAACGTACCAAGTTTACACAGTACCCGCCCCCCCCCTTTCTTAAGTTTAATTGATTAGATAAGACATTTTTTGTGTCTAAAGTTAGCACTGGAAGCTAACAAATACTGGAAGCTTATATCCCAACAATTAGCACTGTGCTAAAAAATACTTGGCATTTCAAATAGACTTGCTTATGTGGTTTCCAACACTGCATGACATACTGAGTGCCACTTTAATGCAGTGTTCGTAAGGATACACGACACCTACATAAGTTATATGCATAACACCTGCACTATATGGCCAAAAGTATGTGGACACCCCTCCTAATGTTTGAGTTCAGGTGTTTCAGCCATGCCCCTTGCTAACAAGTGTGTAAAATCAAGCACATAGCCATGCAATCTCAATAGATAACCTCTGCCTCTGTCCTGCTAGATCTGCCCCAGCCAACTGTAAGTGCTATTATTGTGAAATGGAAGCATCTAGGAGCAACAACACCACAGCCACAGAGTTCCAAACTGCCTCTGGAAGCAACACCTATGCATCAGGTGCTTCATGAAATGGGTTTCTGTGGCCAAGCAGCTGCACGCAAGCCTAAGATCACTATGCGCAATGCCAAAGGTCGGCTGGAGGGGTGTAAAGCACACCACCACTAGACTCTGCAGCAGTGGAAATGTTCTCTGGGGTGATGAATCACCCTTCTCTATCTGACAGTCTGATGGATGAATCTGGGTTTGGCAGATGCCAGTAGAACACTACTTTATGAGGTGAAATAACACAGACATGCATAATGCTGACAATATGACAGCTGGCTGATTCAGGTTGGTTAGTAAACATTTTCTGTGGCTCTTAGTTAAATTGAGACTCATTTTACCATGAATAAGATTTAAACTCTGTCACATCATCAGCATTATGTCACTGTTATATAAACTAAGCTACAAAGTAAGTTAAGCATGTGTATTGTGCAAAATATAGAAGTTGGAGCAGAGATCTTCTAACAAAATGACGCAAACACAACAGGCTTGTTCGAGTGGACGCAGGTTGGCGGACTTCCATAAACCTCAAAGACATTCAAGTCTGATTACTGCCAGAAAATAAAAGCTTCAAATTTACAACCTGATGTTGTGGAGTTGTTTACATTGTCGCTGTCTCTGAAACATCTACACAGCTTTTCACTCCAATTGAATTATGGTGAAGGATTTTGTTCTCCAATCTGACTTTGGTCAAAGGGCAAATCCACCAATTTTTCACAAATTCTGCATAATGAACTGGCTGAAATGTGAACAAAGTCATTCAGAGTGGTTTGGTGTGAAATGGTTCAGATGTCTTTACAGTGGTGGTGATAGGAACCAGGGGTCACCATGACTACAACACAAATATAGACATTTTATTTACTATCCAGAACCACCAGTGAACCTAATTTGGAAAAAAATCCAAACTTTGCTTTGGGGAATTTTTGGTTTTTTTAGGAACACACTGCATGTGCCTATCCACAAGTAATGTATTTGAAAAAATACATTTAAGCCAAAACTTTATCTTAAAACAATGCCTCAGACATCAGTCAGCATATTCATTTCCATTTAATGTAATCACCTGTGAGGGAGCTTTTAGGGGTGGACGTCTGGTTCCTATCACCACCACTGTGAGCAATTCTGACTCTGTAAGTTTCACATCAAACCACTCTGAATGACTGTTTAATTTTGTAGAAACTGAACAATCAATGGAACACACAGTGTTTAAAAACTCCAGCAGCACTGCTGTGTTTGATCCACTCGCACCAGCGCAACACACACTTACACACCACCACCACGTCAATGTTACTGCAGTGCTGAGAATGATCCACCACCCAAATAGTACCTGCTCTGTGAGGGTCTATGGGGGTCCTGACCACTGAAGAACAGGGTAAAAGGGGGCTAACAAAGTATCAGAGAAACAGATGGACTACAGTCTGTAACTGTAGAACTACAAAGTGCACCTATATAGTAAGTGGAGCTGATAAAATGGACAATGAGCACAGAAACAAGGAGGTGGTCATAATGTTATGCCTGATTGGTGTATTTCATAGGTCCGCATGTTTAATAAGTGAAAACAGCCAAGTGCAAACTGTGATGACTGTTTAACCTTAAGTGTGTTTTCAAGGTACAATAAGGTTTATAATAAGAAACTGTAAGTGCTATTATTGTGAAATGGAAACATCTAGGAGCAAAAGGAGGTTTAGTGACCAAAAGGGGTGTTTTCGTGTGGACAGGAGGCCAAAACGTGGAGAAAAATCTGTTTTCAAAAATCTGGATATGTATTGATGGGTCCTGATGCTCCTTCCATACAATTAAGCAGTTAACATGCTGCCATGCTCTGTGGTATGTATGAAAACGCTGAGTAGGTCCAGTTTTCCATATTGAGGAAAAGACCTAAGTGAGTTTGAAAGAGGGATCATTAGTGGGGCAGTACACCTGCCTCGTTACGTTCCTCATTTATTCAGATTTCTCCATTAAGTTGTCACCTTTCTTTATCCGGCTTTGAAGCCATTCAACAGAAACACAAGTGAGTCGAGCCCACAGATCAAATCTAGAACATAATAATTTCCTAATAAAGTAATAACAGCCAGAATTCAAAAACTCAATTTTGCAATACATCTTAACTGATGATGTAACACATTATTACATTATTAGAAATGTATCATATTTTCAGACCATATGTAACACCTTACTATATCGTTGAGAAGAACAGAAGGTACCTCTGTTAGAGCTCAGGTCATGTTCAGGTCACATTTGACTGATTTAAAGTTTTTTTCTGCATCATAAATATCACTTCTTTTATCTGATTTTCAAAAGACTTTGTCTCTTTTTCCAGTTACAGTTGCAACCAGGCTGGGTTGATTCCTGAGTACAGCACAAAGGCACTGAAGACCTTCTCTTAGAAGGGTCATCCTCCATTTGGAGTGGGAATTCAGGTGGATATTTAAAAAAAAATCTATTTCTTTCATCCCAAAATTAATCTTAATATGTCCATTAACATCTCCTATTATCATATATGCAGAAAGGAGCTGAATTTTACAGGAGCATATTTTACAGTCACTGGTGTTGTATGAATATGGTGTAACACCAGTGATGGTGACTCCAGTGACATTCTGGTTAAAACTGAGGATTCTGTAAATTGGCTGACTCGTTGATGGTCAGGTGACCTTGTGCAACTATTTAAAATCAGTGATAAAAATGATAATCTGGCTTTATTTTGACCAAATTTTTATTACCCAGCCATTAAAGCACATAACAGAGGTGACACATAGAAGCTACGAGCTGCCTGATAAACAAAATTATTAATAAAATAAATGAAATATAGTGAGCGAGTGTGGATTTGTTATTTAACAAGTTAATTATCTTATCTCAAGATAACAAAATTGTTATCTTGAAATAACAAGTTACTTGTTATCTCTAGATAACACAAGTTATTTTGAGATGAGTTATTTATCTTGTGATCTCAAGCTAAAGTTATCTTGAAATAACGAGTTACTTATCTTGTTATCTCAAGAAACAAAATTATCTTGAAATAAGTTACTTATCTTATTTCAAGATAAGTTATCTTGAGATGAGTTAATTACCTTGTAATCTTTCCTGAGATAATGAGTTATTTATCCTGTTATCTCAACATTAAGTTATCTTGAAATAATGAGTTTATCTTCTCAACATAACAAAATTATCTTGAAATAACGAGTTACTTATCTTGTTATCTCAAGAGACAAAATTATCATGAAATAACAAGTTACTTATCTTGTTATTTCAAGATAACGAGTTAATTACCTTGTGATCTATCCTGAGATAGTTATTTATCCTGTTATCTCAGCATAGTTATCTTGAGATAACGAGTTATTTATCTTATCTCAACATAACAATTTTATCTTGAAATAACTTGTCACTTCTTACATCTTAAGATAACAAAATGATCTTGAAATTACAAGTTACTTATCTTGTTATCTTGAGATAACAAAAGTTACCTTGAGATAATGAGTTAATTTCCTTGTGATCTATCTTGAGATTACGAATTATTTATCTTGTTATCTCAACATAACAAAATTGTTATCTTGAAATAATGAGTTACTTATCTTATTACCTCAAGATAACCACATTTTTATCTTGAAATAATGAGTTACTTATCTTGTTATCTCAAGATAACAATCCAGAAAACTACAGCAGCAGCTCATGGCCTCTCCGGACTTCCCTAATCTACTTATAATCATAATACATTTCTGACAAGGTAATAATGCATTAAATATGATCAACCTGATAATGTAATAAATCCCCAATAATGTAATAAAGTATCACACAATTGATTAAAGGTATTATTTTCAGTTAAGACACCATATTACATTATTGGACAAGTTATATTATTAGGCTTTATGACATTACGGAAGTCCGGAGAGGCCATAAACTGTTGCTATAATTCTCTGGATTGTTATCTTGAGATAACAAGTAACTCGTTATTTCAAGATAACAATTTTGCTTGGACTTTCGTAGATTTTTTAGCAAGTTAAGTGCAATTTTTTTACATTTTCTGGGGAAAAATATTGGGTTCTGCAGGTGAGGTGTGATCAATCAAGAGCTCCACATAAACAGTGACAGTCATTTAATCAAATCAATGGTGTTTACATGGATATTAATACTTATAACGTGGACATGATGGAGCTGTTAGTACATGTTGAATAAAAAAAAGAGGCAGAAAAAAAAACAAGAACACAAATCGGGTATGTACAGCAGCTTTCATACGGAGCGGACAGTCAGAGGTGCAGTACGTCAGAGTTATTCACAATTCTAATGACGGACAGTAAATGTAAAAACGTGTACCTTTTAGAAAAGCAGTTCGGACAGTGAGGAGAGAACAGGTTCTATGCTTGTTGCTATATGCTGCTCCTTCAGGACAGTTTTATTTTTTTGTTTTTTAAATGAAAAAGTCACTCGCTTTGCTTTCTGCATCAATAGAAAGACCTAAACGGACAGCTGACACAGGGTTAAAATAAAATCTTTTTTTGGTAATATTGCTCTTATGTATCAAAATGTCATCACAGCGATTCTTCCTTGTAAAAAAAAAAAAAGCTAGAGTTAGAAACATCCAAAAGCAAGCACGGTAACAAAAATAGGTGTCTAATTTCACTTTCTTTCTTTTATAAAAGGCCTAAAAGAGCAGTTAAAGTAGAAAGTAAAACAGCTTGCAAAGAGACACCCTGATCCAAATCTTCCATTTCTCCTTTTCTCGCACGTCTTTCTTCTCAACTTACTTCTTCACATCATCAACGTCATCATCATCATCATCATCACTGTTTTCTTTCTCAGGCTTATTTTCTTTTTTTCTCCCCCCAAAAAACCCGACCCATAATATAGACTCCTTTAAAAAATAGACTCGTATATGAAGTTTAAATGCCTTTACTGAGCAGAAATGTCTTTAGTCTGAAACGTTCTCCGCGACGCCGTTCAAAAAGTTTCTGGCTTTTCTTTGAAATGAAATGTTCTCTCCGCGTGGGGGCCCGGAGCAGGTCTCGACTGGGACGCGGAGGGGTGAGGAGTGTGTGAGGAGTTCCCCCTCCACACACACACGCGAAAAAACACCCCCGTCAGGCTCCGTTCAGAGCTGGCTCTCAGCCTCGCTCTTCTCCGCAGTACCGTTCTCCAGGCTCAGAGCAGAAAGGCCCAGTCCATTGGCATTGCTCTCGTTCAGTCTCCTCACCCGGTACGTCTCGTAGTGGATGTTGTGGGTGACGTCCTTCAAATCTTGCAGGTGGGACCTAGAGAGAGAAAGACGCAGCCACAGTTTGATTTACTTATTTATTACATTCACAATCTCAAACGCCTAAAGCAGTCACAGAGAGTTTTAACCTCTCTTTATCACTCAGACTTTTCGTTACTGTCCCTTTAAGACTGGTGTATGTAAATGAGCTCTGTACTAATCGGCTGTCTCTTTCAAAAAGCAGTCCAGGCTGAAACACTCTTTATAACTTCAGTGTGGGTGGGCGGAGCTAAACTGCTGGATGGGTGGATATATATATTAATGACATTGCAGAAACACTGATTTCAAAATGGGATGTTTTTGCAGTTTAATTTACATTAATTAATATTTTGAAAGTTTAACCATGTTTGCATACATCAGACACTTTTACGGCAAAGAAGTGAGGAAAATTTGGTTTTCCATGAGTTTGGGCCTGTTGGGTAGCGCTGTCGCCTCACAGCAAGAATGGCCTGGGGTCGATTCCCGGCCGGGTGACCAGGGTCATTTCTGTGTGGAGTTTGCCTGTTCTCCCCGTGTCTGCGTGGGTTTCCTCCCACGGTCCAAAAACATGCAGTCAGGCTAATTGGACATGCTAAAATTGCCTCTAGGTGTGAGTGTGTATGTCTGTCTGTCTGCCCTGTGATGGACTGGCGACCTGTCCAGGGTGTATCCTGCCTTCCGCCCAATGACAGCTGGGATAGGCTCCAGCACCCCACCGCGACCCAGAAGGATAAGCGGTTTAGACAATGGATGATTTGGGCCCTTTAACATCCAGAGTAGTCAATTACATATAAAAAAAATAGCTGGATAGCATAATGATATTGTTAGCTAACATTAATTTGGGTAATGTTTATTCATATTAAGCCATACCGTAGCTAGATTAGTTTTACCAGAGGAAGGTCTGCTAACGTAATCTGTGCATGATTTAACTGGCCGATTCGTACAGGATAAAGGTTCTGGGTAATTTCCCCAACTTGCTCCAAATATCCCGGATATTGAAACATCATCCCATGGACGTTTACCTCAGCGTGACGTGACAGGTGCCACACTTCCAAACAACACCGTGTGCGGCTAATTGGTGGCAGTGTGGAGTGACGCTCGTTATCAACGGCAATTCCAAACGATGATACGGGAGCGTATGTACCGTTCACAGTTGTTATAAAGTCAGTAGTCTGATCATGAGCTCGAGGATTAACCCCTTACACTCTCAGTCTTATTACATTCTAAATCTTATTATTCAGTCACTACAGGGACGTCAGCGCAAACTGGTTGAGCTATTCTTAGGTTATAGAAGTGTGTAGTAAAACGTTTTTGGCCATTTGAAGGGGTTAAGGAATTTGGTCAAATCAAGCTTCGTTTGGCTGTTAGCCTTGTCTTCAGATCACGAAACAACAAGATAAAAAAACAAAAGGGGCAACATTTTCTATCTATAGTGATGTCGATGCGAACAGGACTGCTATTATTGTGGGAGCTCAGAGTTTGAATTGTAGAAGGTAATTCTCTCCAGAATTATTACCTCAGCAGACTTGTTAAAATCTACAGAGGTGGTCAGATTTATACTGGATTAAAATCACAGATCTTGTCGGCAATCATTCAAAATACACTACTTACATGAGCTAATGACAGATTTGTCTAATGCACATTTACGTTACATAGAATAGAATAGAATAGAATAGAATAGAGTATCTGATTATCTTAAAGAATAAAAAATAAAAATAGTGCCTGTGCCAAGAGTGAAGGTTTGGACACTCTTCCAGTTGTACTGTCTGACAATTAACACATTAATTGACTTGTTAGGAATGGGCGGGGCAAGCCAAGAACTATCATTAAGAGCTGTCACATACATACATACATCATCTAAGCCGCTTATCCTTCTGGGTTGTGGTGGGGTGCTGGAGCCTATCCCAGCTGTCATTGGGCGGAAGGCAGGATACACCCTGGACAGGTCGCCAGTCCATCACAGGGCAGACAGACAGACATACACATTCACTCACACCTAGGGGCAATTTAACATGTCCAATCAGCCTGACTGCATGTTTTTGGACTGTGGGAGGAAACCGGAGTACCCGGAGGAAACCCACGCAGACACGGGGAGAACAGGCAAACTCCACACAGAAATGACCCTGGCCGCCCGGCCGGGAATCGAACCCAGGCCATTCTTGCTGTGAGTGCCACCTAATTCCACAGCGTAATCATTTTTTTGACTGTTCACTGAACAACCATGTGCTCCTCTGAGCAGCTGGCAGAGGCTCTAAAAACTGAAGGCTCCTGTGAGCTTCCAGCTCGCATTTTCCACCGTCCGAAATGTCATTAAGAAACGGCAGTTAGGGTGAACTGTGGAAGTGAAGATCTGGAAAAGAAAGAAAACTCTCAGATAGAGCTGCTCGTATGAGACGGAACTCTTTGGCCACGATCACCAAAGGTATGCTTGGAGAAAAAAGAGCAGCATGTGATGAAAGGAACACCGTGCCAACTGTTCAGCATGCAGGTGGATCTATTATGATTTGATGTTGTTTGGCAGCCAGTGGCAGAGAAAACACTGCACAAGTTGGTGGAAGAATGGATTGCACTAAATATCAGCAAATTCTAGAAGCAGGAGAGTTATTAGGTCATTTTCTACACTCATCACTGCCAGGGAAGAGCATTGGTGGACTGTTTTCTGAAAAGGAAGTACTAGCTAACACTATGGGGGTCTTAAACATCTCCTCCCTGTGCTCCCATCTGTCTGTGTGAGGACGTAAAAGCTGCCTGAGACCAACAAACCTCCTGTTTCTTTTACCGTTAAATGGTCTTAACATTTATTTTGATCCCTATTTTGTTTCGTTAAACTTCTTACATTTGGATTCTTATGCGGTTTTATTATTCACATTTTATTTATTTTTAAATATTATATTAAATGTGTGTCCTCAAATGTGTTTTTCTTTAATTGTCTTTGCAAAGTTTCCCTAAATCAGTTTAAGTTGCATTTTAAAGTAATATTAATAAAGTTTTTAGCCTTAGACTCTCACCAGTATGTGACAGAGACCCCCCCCACCTCCTTCGCACCCCACACAGGAAACTCACACTCAGGTGTAAAGTAGTTGAATACGTGGATCTTATGGTACCATCAACACCTCATTACCATTCAGTGCATAAATATTTATATAATGACTGCAGAGGAGGAAAATCAGCACTTACCGAATAAGCAGATCTCTCAAGTGGGCAAACTCACAATGCGCAACATTTTCAACTGCAAAAAAAGGACAAAATCTTTCAGAATGAAGAACAGAGACTGCTTTCTGAGGCACTTTCTAATGGCGCCACTAGATGGCAGTGCTGCATAAGGCAAATCGTAGCCAGGCGCAGTTTATGATGACATGTTCACACAGGACATAAAGTACAAAGCTGTGGGTCTGTAGGAACAAATGTGCCCAAAATCTCACCTTCTATGATTCCCCATTTGGTTTTTCGGCCCAAGACTTTGTTTCCGTTCACCTGGTGCTCCTTGTCTGTTCCCACCACTGCGAAACGGGATGCTTTCCTGGAAGAACATGCAGGATTACACACTCCACATAGACTATTCACCAACAACAGACTATAAAACACATGCATAGATGAATATCATCGCTGTCAGAACAAAACAGTAAAAAAGGTAAATCTACAGGAGAAAGAAAATCGTTCTTAAATTTTAATGGAAGTTAATGGAGAAATATTTTGGAGCTATTGGTCCATTCATCATCATATTTCGACACGATGTAAAGGATAACTGGTGATTTCAAAATCTGTCAAAAACTGAAAATCGACAGATATGGAGGTACGAAATAGGTCGAAGTTTAAAACCCTTGGTCAAATTACAGATTTTGTTGATTTACTAAGTGAAAATAACTTAAATATAACCTTTTTTTATACTGCTGACATTTTGCACAGGGCATATTTTATATTCTATTTTGTTAAATTCCCCAAATAAACAGCATTAAAATGAGCATTTTTTATTTTTGACTTGGTTTAGGCAAAAGTTCTCCTAACATACATTACTGCACGTCAGTTATGAGCTGAAACTGCTTACACTTTTTTTGGATTTGTACTCAGTTACCCCCCACCAGTCTGGGTCATTATCAGGTCCCACCCACAGACTATGCCCCCCTCCTTTAACACAGCCCTATGTGAGTGGGTGGGGAAAGTAGCCAGTGGACCTGAGGTAGCCTGTTGGTGGGAATTAGTAATGGCTAAACTGGGGGAGGAACTTAAAATAAAAATCCACCAAACATTTTTAGCTCATAAGGCAAAAACATACACTGTGTTGTTTTTTTTTCAACTTAAACTGTTTATTTACCTCCAATAAGGTGCAGCACTAAAGTGTGTTTATTAAAAAAAGGAAATTGTAACTAAGCAATGTGGAGAAAAAAGCAGTGCAACTTCAACTGAGCTGACTTGTAATGTTTTACAGTGTATATACGGTTGTTTAAAAAATGTTTGGTCACATTATGTAAGTGAAAATAAGTGAACACATCCACATAAGTGTGAACACATAAGTGAACACATCCTCTACAGCAGGGGTGACAAACTCAACCACTAAAAAGGACATATTAAAAAATCTCAACAAATCAGTGGTCCAGAGAACATCTATGCTTTATTTCATTTTTATGTAACATTTGCTATAAACTGATTTGACCAGAGACCCCTGTAGTCGTGCGTCATCCTCATCATGCCCATATTAGAAACTCCGGGTCTAAGCTCCATTTCTCTATGGCCAGAATGAATAGGGTTTTCAAAAAAATCGCCTCTATCGCCCCCTGTGTTAAATAATAACATCCAGAACCCGAAACGTTTTGTCCTGTGAACATTCCTCTCCTGAATACCACTGGATCCTCTGAATTACGAGGTCGTTAAAGAGCTGAAATATGAATATCGCTACATGTGAGCTAAAGCTACTGCGCACTGAATTCACGTCATTAGACTGGCAGCCTCTTTATTCAGGCTTTGGCGCCGACTACAAGATGATAACATGACCACAGTGGTCTATTGTTTATTCAAAATACGCAAGAAAAAACTGCAGTAAAATATAAGTACTTATACTAGACCTTAAAATATTACATGAATGCCTGAAATATTAAAAATTTCAATGTCTCCAGGTGCTCAGTCTGTTAAACCTACCTATCTGCTTGAACTAAACACCCGGCATCTTCTCTTTGCTGCAAGTTCTTTAAGGGTTGGGCTCATTTTCTAAGCTGCTGAGCTGACGTTAGGTGTTTATATAGGCTGAACTGCAGTTAGTGTGTTTGGTGATATGACTGGAACTGTGTAGAATTGGAGAGTTGGAACACACATTACATTGCAGTGCATGCTGGTCATTGTAGTGCAGGGCATTGTGAAGCGGGCTAACATTAATAGAAAATTCTACAGAGAACAAACTTCTGCCCATTTTAACGCACAATTACTGTTTATTTGCTGAATTTAACACATTGGAAGAAATAAAACATAAAATGGGACCAGTGCAAAAGTTACAAAAAGTGCAAAATTACAAAATGTGCAAAAGTTACAAAATGTGCAAAAGGCACATTTTATATTTCATGTTCCAGTATTGCAAACTCTGCAAAATTTGCATTAAATTGTGCATAAAAATGTCATTAGAAAATCAACAAAACATGTAATTTGACTCGGGGTATTGAAACCCTTGCATACGACTGTACCATTTGTACCACATACTATATGTGTCAGCACACATTTGTGTCCGTGTACAAACATAAAACAATAAATAATGGGTGTTGGTGCGGTTAGAGCTCTTACCCTGATCCTGTCATTAAGTATCCGCTCCTCAGCGTCCTCGTCATATTCCTTCTGTGGATAAACTCTGATCCCATTGGCCTGCAGGCCCTGTCTTATCTACAGAGAGAGAGAGAGAGAGAGAGAGAGAGAGAGAGAGAGAGAGAGAGAGACTTTCACTCAGACAGATTTACAGAGATGTTTACAGACTTTTGTGCGCTCTCTCTCTCTCTGGGTGAAATATGAACTCTTCACTCCCTCGAGCTCCTGCTGTTGTATTTCACAGGTCTAAAATCTCTGTGGCTTTTCTCAGCAGCACTGTCCATATGCTTGACCCCTTAAAATCTCAGGCTTATTACATACTAAGGCTTATTATTCAGTAACTACAGGGACTTCAATGAAAACTGGCTGAGCTATTCTTAGGTTATAGAAGTGTGCAATTAAACTTTGGACCATTTAAGGTGTTAAATTCAACCACACATGAAGGTGTTGACCGCTGTTCAAAAAAGGGGGGGAGGTGGGAGTTTGGTGGTTCTAGAGTGGCTATAATTCGCAGAGATGCTATCTGGAGCATCAAGCACAGCGCTGTGCTGGATCCACTCAGCGGAGAGAGGTGGCTGTAGATAATGGGCTGAAATGACAGACTGCAGCATTAGGAGTGCGGTTTGGGGGTCTATCGACAGGAGACACAGAGCTCAGACACTGCGGTCCAAAAAAGCTCCACAGGGAGAAGCGATGGCACGAAGCCCAGACCACTCCAGCAGGAGCCATACATCAATTAATAATAATAATAATAATAATAATAAAATTGAAATAGCAGCATCATAAAAAGATTTCATTATATATATAAACCAATCAGGCATAACATTCTGACCACCTCCTTGTTTCTGCGCTCATTGTCCATTTTATCAGCTCCACTTACTATATAGGTGCACTTTGTAGTTCTACAGTTACAGACTGTAGTCCATCTGTTTCTCTGCATACTTTGTTAGCCCCCTTTTACCCTGTTCTTCAGTGGTCAGGACCCCCATGGACCCTCACAGAGCAGGTACTATTTGGGTGGTGGATCATTCTCAGCACTGCAGTGACACTGACGTGGTGGTGGTGTGTTAGTGTATGTTGTGCTGGTACGAGTGGATCAGACGCAGCAGTGCTGCTGGAGTTTTTAAACACCTCAGTGTCACTGCTGGACTGAGAATAGACCACCAACCAAAAATAGCGTCCCAGTGTCCTGTGGGCAGCGTCCTGTGGGCAGCGTCCTGTGGGCAGCGTCCTGTGACCACTGATGAAGGACTAGAGGATGAACAACACAAACTGTGCAGCAGCAGATGAGCTATCGTCTCTGACTTTACATCTACAAGGTGGACTGACAAGGTAGGAGTGTCTAATAGAGTGGACAGTGAGTGGACACAGTGTTAAAAACTCCAGCAGCACTGCTGTGTCTGATCCACTCAGACCAGCACAACACACACTAACACACCACCATCACATCAGAGTTACTGCAGTGCTGAGAATGATCCACCACCCAAATAGTACCTGCTCTGTGAGGGTCCATGGGGGTCCTGACCACTGAAGAACAGGGTAAAAGGGGGCTAACAAAGTATGCAGAGAAACAGATGGACTACAGTCTGTAACTGTAGAACTACAAAGTGCACCTATAGAGTAAGTGGAGCTGATAAAATGAGCGTAGAAACAAGGAGGTGGTCATATGTTATGCCTGATCGGCGTATATGTAACAGTACTGTAGAAAAGTCAGAGGCCCTTTCATTCATTCAATTTCCTGTCAAATTGGCCATTAAGTACAACCTATTCATTTTTCAGCATCAGGAAAAAAGCAAAAACACATATTTGAAAATTAATTTTTTCAGTGTTCAGTGTGTCACTCTTCATTCCAGCTTCCATTCTTTTCAGGAGGCTCAAAGAATCTGCAGACACACCTCCAAAGTTCAGTCTTAGAAGTTGGTTGATCATTTTCTGAAGTAATTCTGTTAGGAGGCCCATTTTCTCTGTAGCTCTTGTTCACAATTCATAAGTGACAAGTAGGTCAGTTGCTGATGACCGCCCACTCACCCTCTGTTTGAACTCTAGTCTCTCTTCCATGGTCAGTGTGTCTGCTTTGGCGATAACAGGCACGATGCTAACGATGTTCCCCAGCCTCTTCATGAACTCCACGTCGATAGGGCGCAACCTGCGGAACATCTGGGGTCAGTGACTGAACAGACAAACAAATGGAGTATGTGTTTAAAGCACGTTTTCTGCTCTGGGACGAGAAGACGGTTCAAATTAATGGTAGTTTATGGTTCGTAGTGTCCTGCTGGACAGCCAATCAGAACAAAACAATTCCTAAGTGGGTGGAAAGTTGCGTATTGACTATATTGATGGACATCAATGAGGCTCTGGATATGCACTCAGATTCTAAACCCTGAGATCCCTGAGTTCTGGTGGAGCGCTGGAATGAGCTGGATGCAGCTAAGTTTTCACCGAAGGTCAGAAGGTCACCATTTCAATTAAGGGCACTGCTGCATTCCTCAGGCTTTCTAATCTGTAAATCACCCCCAGCGTTCGGCCAGGCCGTTGGAGAGCGAGAGCTGCTGAACCTGCGTTTTAAAGGAACTGTTCAGTTTTACACTTTAATGTAATGAACACTTTTTTCCCCCCTTAAATGCAGTCGATCAGCCAAGGCTTCACTGGGTGTGACGTTTACTTCTGTTCTACTCAGTGGAGCTATGAGGCAAATGTACAAGCAGCGCAGTTAGCACTGCACATTCATGCCTAAATCAGTTGTTTTAATCTCATTCCGACTTGGTTTTGCCAAAAATGGAGAAAAGTTAAAAAAAAAATTCACACTTAATGATGGTCATAAATATTATTTTTAGCTATCCCAGGACAGGCCAACATGAAGTCTATGGTCTAACCAGCTGGTCTAAGCTGGTTTATGCTGGTCTGATACTGGTTTAGCTCGGCTCCCATGGTCATGCTGGTTGACCAGAATACCAGCATCAAAACAAAGCACACTACCAACATTAGCATTGCTCACATTTTTCTTGTATTTTATTTCTTTGTCTGGAGAAAAAATAAACTTAGTGTGGTCTAACCGACGAAAATGGCTTTATTTCACTTTTACACAATCATGTTCCGACTTCTCTGTATCACTCAGTTAATTAAACAGGCTGCTTATGTTTCTGCGCCTTTAAGGCTCTTATGTAAGTAAATGAGCTCTGTTCTGATTTGCCTTCCTGTATTGTGCCTCACTCAAAAAGCAGTCCAGGCTGAAACACTCCTTATAACTTCACGTGTTGATTTTTGTGACATCCCCCAAAAAAATAAACAATTCAAAAGCTGTTTTTTCTGCTTAATTGTTCATGCATGGAGAGTGAAACTTTATGTTTTCATACTAAATCAAACTCTTTGATATAAAAAAGTGCTGAAGAGTTGGTTTCTTGTGGTTTGAGCCCTTTAATATGATTGGCTGTGAAAAGAACGCGACAGAAGGCAGACAGGAAGACGCACCAGTGTCCCGTGGCCGGCAGGAAGTAGACGCAGCAGTGAACGCGGGTGTCAGGGATTCTTCGCTTCCTGTTGATGTGCAGCTCCTCCTTCAGATACTTCTCATACTGCTCGTTGATGTACTTCACAATGGGCTCCCAGCTGAGGAGAAACAAACAGAACAGGGGTTTGAAGTACCGTCTCTAATGCTGACGTACAGAGGTTCCATTCAGACAGCAAAACCTGACCTTTTATCACGTTTCCACAAATTTATCCAGCAATTCTGATATTAACAAGTATGTTTTGAACCACATTATGTAGTAATTGTAGTCGGGTCATTCTACCTTTGGGTTGGGCTGATTCAGAATGCTGATATGCAAATCAAGTGTAAAATGTGGTCTGTTATATTTAACAACATCAGTAGAGAAGTAGCACTACTGACCGTAACACCACTGACAGTTACTCCACTGACCGCAACACCACTGACAGTTACTCCACTGACAGTACTCCACTGACAGTAACACCACTGACAGTTACTCCACTGACAGTAACACCACTGACAGCAACTCCACTGACCGAAACACCACTGACCGAAACACAACTGACAGTAACACCACTAACAAAATTACTAAACACTTAGCCTCTCTAAAATATATTCCACTGACACTTTAGCTTCAAACTCACACTGTATGTACAAAATTACTATTATTGCATTTATGTTGTTATTATTTTTTTAAATCTTATGTTACACACAAATCTCAGACTTCTTAGACCTTCTTACATTGAGATATCCACACAAGACATAACTCAAAAAGACCTTGTTATTTTTTATGACAATGTTCATATTTCTATATTGCAAATCCAGAGAACTATTTTAAAAATGTATTATGTAATTTTAACATATGACGGACAGTTTCAGCGCATTTTTACCATTTAAACTGAAAAACAAGCATTTCGCATAAAGAACTCCTGCGAGACGAGATGCTGTTTTTAATGCACAACATGGCTAAAAATCACTAAAATAATATTCAAATAGACGCAATAAAAAGCATTGTCCAATTCTTCAATGGTCTGTGGTTTGTTCTTACTTTATGGGACAACGTTATATATGTATATATGTGTGTGTGTATGTGTGTGTATATATATATATATATATATATATATATATATATATATATAATATATAAATAATTTACATAACTTATTTCTCATAATTCATTGAAACAAGCAAAAAATAGCATGTAACATAAATCAAATGTATATGCACTTCATCATGCAACTAAGAATGTGACAATATATAACAATATATAATTACATTTAAATAACTGAAGAAAATGACAGTAATAACACTTAAATAGTAACTAGTAATAGTAAAACACCTCTAATGAAAGAGGCGAATGAGAGCCGAGCATCTGAAATGGTAACAGACAGATGAGGAACGAGACGCAGTCCTCCTACTAGTCTGCCGTCTGCACACTGTAATCAGTAAAGGTTAATTAAACGTAAACTTTACAGTAACGAACGGCTCGTCTCACCAGTTCTCATTGTTGATCTGGTCTCCAAATCCAGGCGTGTCAATCACAGTCAGCCTCATCTTCACTCCCTTCTCCTCGATGACTGAAAAACAGGGAGAAAAGACAGCTTTAGTGATCATAAAGCAGCTGTGCTAATGTTCTGGGTATATTTATCTTCAACGCTCAGCTTCATGTTCATCAAAGAGTCTTCCTCAGTACGAAGAGCAGATCCTAAACAATGATTTAACGGTTTTCTTTTCTAAACTACTTTTAAAAGCACATATCCAAACTCTTGTGGCCCAAAGATGGTTTAAACTAATGAATGGTTTGAGTGCTGACATCACAACAAGAGGGTAAAGTGGGCGTGGCTTTATTCCCAAAACAGCAGTGTTTTAATTTTGTGACAGTAATACGATCAAAGTAAACATTTTCCCCGTAACTCTGTTATCACATGAACTTGGACACGGTTGTCTCTCTGTGTGAAAGGTGAAGGGTGTGAAAAACTATTCACGCCTCCCTACGAAGATGGCCACGCAAAGATAAAACAGACAACTGACTCAATAAACAAAGAGCATTTAAACACACTTCATAAATCCAGTTCACTCCCAGTTTTATAAATCATTCACAATTCCGTGGAAATACACTCCATCATTGTTATTGAAGATAAAAAACAGTTTAACTGAGAGAGCTGTAAAAATTAATAAGGTAAGATTTTATAAGACAGAAACTGATGAAGAAAACGTTTTCAACATTTTCATTTGTTTTAAAACCTTTGGGAAAGTTACACTGTAAAAAATACACTGTAAAAATACAGTGCAACTGTATGTTTACTGTAAAAAAAACGTATTTTCACTGTCAAAGTACTGTGAAATTTTAATGATCAATACCTGTTTTTTGAAAAAAAAGTTAAGTGCATGTAAATAAACTATACGTATACTGTATTTTCACACTACTGTTTAGAATTTAATAGAAATATAGTTTTGCAAAAAGTAATTATCTCCTATTTTTTACAGACATTTGCATTTATTTTAATAGTTGTTCCTGATATTATTATGCTGAAGCACTGTGTGTCAGAATAAGTAGTTGAACTGTTGAATTACAGTAAAAGCCAGTATTTCTAAAATATTAAATGACTGTAATTTTACAGATTTTTACCATCATTGAGAAAACACGCTTTTACAGTTAATTAACTGGTTTTGCCTGCTGTCGGACTTTTTACCGCTTCTGTACAGATTATTTTTACAGAGTGCTGTGACTTTACAGTCACCTGGACTGTATTTTTACATAACAACTGTAAAAGTAATGCAACCCAATAGCCAATGATTTACTGCAGATTTATGCATGAAAAAAATGGACTTTTAATATTACCATATTAATAAATATATAAATATGTTAACTTTAAAAAAATCTATTAAAACACTTATTCATAATACTTTGCATTATATATGAAGTATATATGTATGTCAAATATGCATTTTACAGACATTTCAACTTTTAAAATTTATAATTTGCACAAACATGAACAAAAGCCTGTCTGTCAATAACAAAAAAAACAACACAATTTTTTTCATAACATATAAAAACAGCATAAAAGTCATTAAAACACCAAACATAGAATCATCAGAACAAAAACTATGTTTTTATTAAAACTATTACTCTCTGTTGATGTTATATCCCATGATGCTCAGCAACAAAGCTCAACGTCAACCTCTAAAATGAAGTGACTTCACAATAAAAAGATTATTACAGAATATTACTGTGAAAAATGACTGTTAAATATTGTGAAATGCTGGCGACGGTTTACAGTGTGTGAGTCTCCAAAGCTTCTGACGTGTCGTGTGCTTTCTTTTCCAGGCGGGACGCTAACTGTAGGGTGTGGACGCGTTCTCTCTCTTTCTTTCCTTCTTATGAGGGTGTTTGTTCTGTCACGATTGGCGCAGACGTTCTAATCTCAAGGACCAATCAATTAAAGGATCAAAGCGGCGCGAGGGTTTATAGCCTGCACTTACAGCCAAGCCTCAGGACTCAATGTTCTCTGACTCAAAATCACAAATCACACGGGCCGACAGCTCGCAGGGCCGTTCAAAGGCTGGAAATTACCTTCAAACATCCAGCCCTCACCTGGAACCCAAACACGACACCGCGAGCACATCCAGGAATGCAAGATGGGACATGAGCCCCCGGCACAGTCGCACGACCACCTGCTTCCCAGTTCACTGACACTTTCTCTCTCGGCGAAGGCCGAGAACACTGACACTAACCGGCACATGGAGCTTCTTCACTCAGTGGTGTTGGGCAGTTTGATGATTTGTTTATACCTGCATGAACAGAAACCCCTTATAGATCTTGCTGGGTGAATAAAAGGGGCTGTTTACACCTTGCAATAAAATGTGTTTTATGTCCAGATCGTATCTGGACAACTTCGGCCTGATTCTATTCACACTTTTCACTAGAGGATGACCAACACAAACTATGCTGACACAATGAGCTGCTGACTCTGACTTTACATCTACAAGGTGGACCAACAAAGTAATAGAGTGGACAGTGAGTGGACACAGTGTTTGAAAACTCCAGCAGCACTGCTGTGTCTGATCCACTCAGACCAGCACAAACCACACTAACACACCACCACCATGTCAGTGTTACTGCAGTGCTGAGAATGATCCACCACCATTTAGTATATGACATGGTAGGAGTGTCTAATAGAGTGGACAGTGAGTGGACACAGTGTTTAAAAACTCCAGCAGCACTTGTTGGTCCACCTTGTAGATGTAAAGTCAGAGACGGTAGCTCATCTGCTGCTGCACAGTTTGTGTTGGTCATCCTCTAGTCCTTCATCAGTGGTCACAGGATGCTGCCCACAGGACACTGTTGACTGGATATTTTTGGTTGGTGGACTATTCTCAGTCCAGCAGCGACACTGAGGTGTTTAAAAGCAGATGAGCTATCGTCTCTGACTTTACATCTACAAGGTGGACTGACAAGGTAGGAGTGTCTAATACAGTGGACAGTGAGTGGACACAGTGTTTAAAAACTCCAGCAGCACTGCTGTGTCTGATCCACTCAGACCAGCGCAACACACACTAACACACCACCACCACGTCAGTGTTACTGCAGTGCTGAGAATGATCCACCACCCAAATAGTACCTGTTCTGTGAGGGTCCATGGGGGTCCTGACCACTGAAGAACAGGGTAAAAGGGGGCTAACAAAGTATCAGAGAAACAGATGGACTACAGTCTGTAACTGTAGAACTACAAAGTGCACCTATATAGTAAGTGATTTGTTTTTTGATTGTATTTCTGATTCTGAACCTCATACTGATCCTGATTCTCCCTCTGACCCTCATTCTGATTCAGATTCTAATCCCAGAACCTTGGTTCTGATTCTGATCCTCATTCTGAACCTGACTCTTATCCTAATTCTCTTTCCGATACTTATTTGATGCTTATTCTGATTTTTATTCTGGTCCTGATCTTCATTCTGATGTTTATTTTGGCCCTGATCCTCTTTGTGATCCTCATTTTGATCCTGATTTTCTGCGTTTTTATTGAAATTCATGTTGAATTATGTTGAATTTATGTTGATACCTGCACTAAGAGAACAGAATTCCTGGTGCGTTTTGTATTTGGTGAATAAGAAAGATTCTGATTCTGATTTGATTCTGATTCTGATTCTTCCTGCCCGAGCAGGGCCTGCTGGATCTCTGCGCTGGGATTGGCCGGGACGCATGAGCGACTGTGTCTTGTCATCTGCTCATCTGTGTAAAATCCCCCTGAACGAGGCGACGCTGAAGCCACTGATGAAGAGAAATTAAAACGTCAGTCGGCGCTCGGCTTCACATGACAGCCGTCCATCTTTCAAGCGAAACTGGCCGGTCACGGTCACACCCACAACCCTGACTGAGTGTCCCAGAAGACCGGCCTTCTCTTTTAAGGTGAAAATTCTTTTGTTTTTTAAAAATCTCTTGATTATGTGGTTTCTGACAGTGCATGACACGCTGTTATGTACAACCATGGACTGAAGTACGTCACACTGCTAAAAACAGTAGCAGCTGAGTTTTGTCCACACTTCTGTCCCTTTAATGTCTAACAGAGCGAGAAGGACAGAAAGAAAAAAAGCTGAAAGGTGGCTTTGAGAAGGCCTGCTTCAGCCACTGTTTTTTGTATGCGGTCTTTGAGAGGACGGAGGGATGGGGCGACGGGGGGGACGGTGGGACGCCTCTCTGCTCTTGGCAGAGGTACAGGCCGGCTCTTTCATGGCTTTGGGCTTTGTGCTGTGCGGAGGTGTCGATCCGTCTGAGTTTCGGCTTCTCTTTTGTTCCACAGGCCTGAGCTCTGTCTGGAAACTGTGTCCCACGTCCCCTTGTCCATGCTGGGGGAGCGGGAGACCGGCAAAGCCATCTGCTGGATAACCTGCTGGATCAGGCCTGGACTGGAGCCTGAGACTGAAGAATTTCAGCTCGAGAAAAAAAGCAGGTCATCAAACTGACAGTCAAAACGACCATGTACACCTATAGCAGTTACACGTGGACGTTTGGTTTGGGGACAATATCTAGAATTGTATAACATCTTTATGTTATTCTTTAAACTTTGCAAAGGTTCTTCACAGGTTCTTACAAATCACGTTTACAGAAATGGTTGTTGAAAGCGAACCAATATCCTTTCTGGCATCTTTATTTTTAAGAGGGTAGTTTTTTTCTTTAAGGTTTACTGATTTAAATCTAATCAATATTTATTAAACACACATTAAGTCACTACAGGCCGCAACATATACCTGCTTAGTAGTAGTGGAAATATGTAGGAGCTCAACATCAAAGCTAGTTTGTGTGGTGTGACCCATTTATTTTTTGAGCAGCGAATAAAGCTTGATTTAAAAAACTATGTTAGAACTGGCCTATAGGTGATGATCATATGCAAAAGCCTAAAAGTGTCAATTAGTGTAATTAATACGTGTAATTAATGCGTTCTGTACAGGAAACACACTTAAATATGAGTTTTTTCTGCACATTTTAGTCCACAATTTCTATTCATTTGAATTAAAATATTAGAAAAAAACAAAATATAAAATGTGCTGTGATTTTGCATGGGCCACATTTTGTTTT